CCCCCAAAACCCCAAAACCCCAAAACCCCTTACGATAGTCAATATATTGAGTCTTAATCATCAAATGTAAAGTTCTGTAGGAGGTTTATGCTAATCTTCTTCTTTAGAACACTTTCATTGCTAATATTCTTAGACCTATGTATTAGATAAAGTCTCACTTGTTCCCAACATAGATATTCTGTACAGTGGCTCTTCAGTGTTTAAAAGCTCTTTTTGTAACATTCCTTTTTGAAGTGTTGTTTTTCCTTGAATTAAGTTTTTTCCTTAATATCATGCCTAATTTTAATGAGGAATAATACTCTTTCTTTGAATTCGGGGTTTGGAAAGCCTGCTTGAAGATCTCTGTTGGTTTAGATTAACTGTGGATTTAGAGGAATTTGATGTCCTTCTCAATTTATTTATGCATTTTCTTGAGGAAGAGATGTAATTTTTGAGGGCATTTTGAAAAGATATTTTGTTTCTCAGTCTTGATTTTCATACTTTGGATTATCATTGGGTCTTTATCCAAGTTATATTTGCTAGAAGTTAATGAATGTTCTTACGGACAGAATTGATTAACGTCTTCAGTAATTAAAAGATGAGAGCCTTTGTTGTCAAGCTTTTGGTCAGAGAAAGCTCTTAGGTGTTTTGATCTTGATTCTTGATCCTTTTTGGGTGAACTAACTATAATGAGAATTAATCTGAAATAGCAGAGGTGGATAAGCCAAATATACCAAGTTAAACAGAACAATTACCAATAAAATTATATGATTCTTCAGTAGAGTTTTTGGCAAGGTTATGATCATTTCCGTTAATATTATGAGGAGGTTCTTGATTATTTTGATCATTATCTTTATTTTCATAATTTCAATAACTTTCTAGCACTTCTAAATCTGTTCCTCTTGTTTTAGAATCGTAAAAAGTGCTAGTCATTGGTCTCTTAATGCTTTGAAGTTTAGAAGATCTTTCATTCCTCAAATTATGTGTCTGAGCATTTATTTCATTTGATCCTAACAGTAAGTGAAGCTTTTCCCTATGATTTTGCCGATCAGCTGTATTGGCAACTTCCTTTTTCTTCCTTTTGAAGGTTAACTTTTTACCAGAGACCACAGTGAGTTTCTTGGCTTCTTTATCCAACTTAAAAACAGTTCGCTTATATCTTCTGTTGGTGAAATTTTCCATAGAATTTGTTCTTTTATTTATGAAGAGATCTTTGTTCTACAGATATTTATAAAAATAAAATTACTCTGGCTAGACTGAGTTGAATCTCTAGTTCCTTGCTTTCAAGAAGCACTTGTTCCTCTTCCTATTGATAATGCTGAAAGCTTACTATGGCTGGTGAAATCAGAGTTTCTGCTAGAACAAATGTGGGAATTTCTCTCTCCAAGTGAGGGTTTATTAGCCAGGCTGTAAACTTTGGATGGATCCCAGAACAATGGTCCTTGGCTCTCTTCATTTTTCGAAATTTTAATTTCCTGGTTGTCTGCAGATTGTTTGATTTCTCCTTTGATTAGTACAAATAATGACTTTCTATTATTTTTCCTAAAATATTAGATAGTTTATAAGCTGAATGTAAACGGAGTAGAACAAGTGCTAAGCTTTGTTGAATCATATTTATTGCTTTGAAGTTATTCAGATTAGAACACTAGAGGCCACAGCTTCTTAGTTATGATAAGTAATCAACTTCGAATTTTCAGATGATATTTGACTCCTGTATAAAATCTTGACTTGTTAAAAATTCAGACTAAGGCTAAAAAATTGGATGTAAGAACATAAAAATCTGTTTTAGGTTTAAAGCACTCATAAGAAGAGAATTAATATTAGAAATGAGTGAAGAACTGGAATTGAAAATAAAAAATTGTAAGCAAATTAATATACCTTGCAATTGCATTCTGATCTATTCTATCAGACTTAAAATTCCCTCCTCTTTTTCCTAATTGTCATTTCATTGCTTTCTTTGATAGAAGATTTCTAATAGAATCAGTTTGATGTTTCATCATTTGTTTTAAAATATTATGTTTTCAATATTTTTAATGAATCAAGGGGTTTTGGGGTTTTGGGGTTTTGGGGTTTTGGGG